AAACTCAGAAGGTGAGGGGTTAATTTGAGGAAACACATTTATAACATACATTTCCCATGGACTGTATCCTTCCAGGCTCCTCTGTCCATGAGATTCTCCAGGCAAGAATACTGGAGTGGGTTGCCCTGCCCTTCTTCAGGGAATCTTTCCAACCCAGGGATCGAACCCATGTTTCCTGCATTGCAGGCAGATTCTTTACCATCTGAGCCACCAGGGAAGCCCATATTTATATATAACACATATTATAACATATATTTTATATGGGACATTTTATAGAACCTTGTGTTGGTGGATTTGTATTATATTGAGATATAGTCCACATACAGTGAAATTCACCCTCTTAATGTACAGCTCTGAGTTTTGACAAATGTATATCGTCATGTAACCACCGTCACACAATACGAAATATTGCCAACACCCCCAAAAACTTCCCCTGTGTCCCTCTGCTGTGAATCCCCACCCCTGGGCCTCAGCCTCTAGCAACAAATGATTCTGACTTTTCCAGAAAGTCATATGAATGGAATCCTACAATCTGTGGCCTTTTAAGTCTGGCTTTTTTCAATGCAGTCTAATTGGAGGTGCCTCCATGCTGTTGAATGCATCAGTAATTCATTCCTTTTTATTGCTGAGTAGAGTTTATTGGATGAGTGGGCCACTATTGCTTATCCATTTACCAGATGAAGTCTTTTTCATTTAGATAATGCAGGACAAAAAGCAGACTTCAGCAGATCTCCTTGGCCACTGAGACTCTCATGCCTCTTTGCTCAGCTGTATTCTATCCAGCGTCCCCTCCTTCCTCCCCCAGGCTCTGCCTATCAAAACTCTTTCCTTTCCTTCAAGGCCCTTTTCAAATTCTCCCTCGCACAAAAGAAGCAGGGTTTACTGTCCCTGTGTCACAGGTTGGTAAAGTGAAGCTCAGGGAAAGGCAGCCCTCAGCTGCTAGAGGCCCACGCTAGGGCGTAGCAGAGCCAGAACCAGACTCAGGGCCAAGGGGAGAAGCGGGCAGCTCAAGGGCCAAAGATCAGCCTCTTTGCAGGCCAGGGGCAGTGGGTCGGCAGGGGCAGAGATGCAGGCCCCCTCTTTCCCATGTCAGCCCTTTTACCAGCAGGAGGGTGACAGAGAATGGGCAGGTCAAATCCTGAGTGGGGCTGGGGGGCCGGGGCAGGTCCCATCTGGGGTCTGCCCCTCCATGAGGACTTTTCCCTTCCCACCCTTCCAGCTGGTGCCTGAGCCCTGGGCTGGATCCAACCCCCACACACAGGCTGACATTACTCATCAGAGCTGCAGGCTGGCTGAACTGGGGCCCTTTTGCCCAGATTACCATTCTAGAGCCCATGAGTGGGCATGGCAAGTTGAGTGATGAGCCCCAGCTGTGGGTGGCCTTCACCCCACCCGGCCATTTGCAGACACAGAACAAATAGGGGACTAGTAAGAGTGCTTAGGGGGTTCCCATTACTAGAGAGGACCCCAAGCTACCCTGAGGCCCCAGCCCTGCTGTGCAGACCTGAGGAGCCCCCTGGGCAGGGAGTCTTGGAACCCAGGCCATCAGTTGGTGACCTTGGACAAGTTTTCTGGGTCTCAGTTTGGGGACTTGGGCCTCTGGTCCTGGGTGGAGCTTATGGATACTTTTTCAGAATATTACTTAAAAAAATTTTATTTTATTTACGTAATTTTTTGGTTGCACTGTGTCTTCGTGGCTGCCTACAGGCTTTTTTCTTTAGTTGTGGAGAGCAGGAGCTACTTTCTAGTTGCAGTATGTGGGCTTCTCATTGTGGTCGTTTTTCTTGTTGCAGAGCATGGGCTCTAGGCGCACAGGCTTCAGTACTTGCAGCACGAGGGCTCCGTACTTGTGGCTTGTGGACCCTAGAGCTTGCAGGCTCAGTAGCTGGAGAACACGGGCTTAGTTGCTCTGCAGCATGTGGAATCTTCCCGGGCCAGGGATCGAACCCATGTCCCCCTTATTGGCAGGCGGATTCTAATCCACTCTACCACCAGAGAAGTCCAGAATATTGCTTTCAAATGCATAAAATAAGAACACCTAGTGACATTGTGATTATAATGTGCTGTAGCTGTAACATTACCCAGTGGCGGGTTTGAGAATGTCCATTATTCTGAAGTCATGATCAGTATTTTTTGACACTCTAATATCTATGCTGTGATAGGAAATATTTGTGATTTCTGTTGGTAATGAATTTGCAGGATCAGCTAACAATGTTACGATTTGGAATCTCTGCTCATAATTGAAAGTGAAAGCCTCTCAGTTGTGTCCAACTCTTTGCGACCCCATGGACTATACAGTCCTTGGAATTCTCCAGGCCAGAATACTAGAGTGGGTAGCCTTTCCCTTCTCCAGGGAATCTTCCCAACCCAGGGATCGAACCCAGATCTCCTGCATTGCAAGTGGACTCTTACCATATGAGCTACCAGGGAAATCCAAGAATACTGAAGTGAGTAGTCTATTCCTTCCCCAGCAGATCTTCTCAATTCCTGGGGTCTCCTGCATTGTAGGCAGATTCTTTACCAACTGAGCTATGGGGAAGCCCAGTTGCAGGATCAGCTAACAGTGTTATGATTTGGGACCTTGGCTCATAATTTAAGGAAATGCCAAATTTTTATTACAGGTTAGTGAACAAAAAAGAAAAATGTAATTATTCTTTCACCCAAGTTCATGGACCCCCTGCATTCTCTGCATAGGCCCTGTGGTCCCCCATTAGGCACCTGTGATCTATAGAGAGAATGCCCAGGACTAGGGCATGAGAGCCCCCAAGAAACTTGAAAAAGGAATCAGATAGGGGATGAGGGGAGGGGAGGGGGAAGGAATAGGAAGGGGAGAATGAAAACTAGGGGAGGGTATACCTGGGAAGTACTTCCAGAAAAAGAGAGTGGCCATATGGGTCACTACTGCTGAGACGGAGAGTAAGCTGAGGACAGAGAAGTGTCTGCTGACCACCCTTGTCAAAGACAGTTACAACAAGGTGTGTTAAAGTGTCTCTCCAGGGCTGGGGACAGGTCAGGGGTGCACAGGATTCAACCATATGGGTTGTATTTTTTTCTTGAGTGTAGTAAATACACAGATTTTATTATATTTTATTTATGCTGTGTGAATGTGTATGTGAAGAACACCATAATAATATTATTTTTTTAAAGGTAAGCATAGAGAGGAAGGAAAAAATGGAGATAATTTATTCAAGAAGTTATGTTGTTTGGGAGTGAGCAAAGAAATTGGAGGCACAGATAGAGGGGATCTGTGGAGTCAATGATATTTTTTTTCTTTAATTTTTAGCTAAAGACCCTTGGACCCATTTGCCTGTTGCAGAGGTTGGGGCCGGAGAGGAAAGAAGGGGTCAAACGGGCAAAGGCTTGAGATGTTCAGACACACTTATCTCTCTGGTCCTCAAGTCCCCGTTGTGACCTCTCCACTTGAGCGAACATCAGTTGGCTGAGTCTCTCCCCAGAATTTCTGATTCTGTAGGTCTGGATCTGGGACCTAGAAACTTGCATTTCTCACAAGCTCCCTGGTGATGCTTGCCCCAAGGACGCGCTTTAAGAAGCAAGGCCCTGATAGACACCACTTGCGCCCCCTTCAGGATTTGACATTGCACTACAACGAGCCACGCCCCTTAGAAAGCACGGAGATGAGGGAGGTCTGGGAGCAGACAATTGAGATGGAAGAGAGGTGAAGAGACTAAGGAATAAACAGCTGAAGCCTGACCCCCAGCCAGGGTCACCCCCTCTCCCTGGGAAGCACCAGCCTTCCCAGGGACCCTGGGAGCTGCCCTGTTGGACCTCCTGGAGGGCTGAGTGACAGGGGGTGGGAAGGAGCCAGAGCTGGGGGATGGAGATGGTGGCGAAAGGCCAGCAAATATGCCCAATGGAGAGGGAGTGGAGGAGGGGCACCGGCTTTCTGTCCTCAGGCACTGAGCCCTGAGAACACGCTGTTCACCTTTGCAATCTGACCTGGTCTCATGCCAGACCAGCTTCTCCTGCTCTTGGGAAAAAGAGCAGTCCTGTCAAAGAAATGAACATTAGCGTGTCAGATCCCAAGATATCTAAGCAGGGAGGACCCTTGGAGACTGGCCAGTTCATCTCCATTTCACAGACGGAGGGGGCCAGAAAATAAAAGTCTGGTTTGATGGATGGACTTGCAAACTCCAGTATAGGGAAAGATTCATCCCCTCTTCCCGCTGTTGGCTCAGTCCTAGGAAGCTGGGTCATGTGCATGACGTTGGGGACTATAATGACAATTGCTGTTTCCCCTCTTAGCGACTCATTGGACACATTTTTTTTAACACCCACTGTATGCTAAGCACTGTGCTAGATATGGAGATAAAGTTGAGAGCAAGACCAAGCTCCTGGCTTCATGGCATTGATGTGTGAAGGGCAAGTTTTAAAAGGCAATAAACAAATAAATATGTAATACAAAGTTGGGGCATGATAGGGGGTTGGAAGAGAACTGAAATGACATGAGGGAGTGAGCCTTGTAGATGGTGTGGGGTGGTAGGATCCAGCGAGAGGGAATAGCATATGCAAAGGCCCTGAGGCAGGTGCATGCTTGCTGTGTTGGAAGGGTGTCACAGAGGCAAGGTGTCTGGAGTGGAGTGAGGGAGACTAGGAGAGGAAACCACAGTGGTAGCAGGAGGCAGGTCATTAAAAGCACCTGCAGTCAGGGAAGACTTTGGCTTTTCCTCCCTGACTTTTCCGTGGAAGACTTTGGTGAGATAGGAACCCTGGGAGGGTCCTGAATGGAGGAGAAGTGTGTTGTCACTTCAGTTTAACAGGATCCCTCTGGCTGCTGAGTGGAGAATGGGCTGTGTATGGGATGGAGGCAGAGAGGTTGAGGAGAAAGCAACAAATAGAGTAAGCAAGAGGTGATGGCAGCCTGACCTGGCATCAAGGCCTCCTCCAGTCGCTCTATGTCCTTCCACGGGATATATGGAAGGGACAGGAAGCTTCCCCTAGCCCTTACCCATGACCCCAGCACACTGTCTGTCTCCTCACAGCTGGAAAGGTACATCCAGAAGAACCTGAGGTTGGAGCTGGCACAGACTCAGCAGCACATGGTCCAGAACCAGACAGCCACCATGCTGGAGCTGGGCACCAGTCTCCTGACCCACACCACCGCCCAGACCCACAAGCTGACCAGTGTGGAGGCTCAGGTACTACAGGGTGAGGGGGTGGTACTGGGGGCACCATGGCAGGCCAGGCTGGCTCATAACCCTAGTCATCTTGCTTTGACCCTTGTCAGAGGAGGCTCTGACCTTGCAGCCCCTGATGACCCCATCACAGAACTGTCTCCCACCAGGCCGTGAGCCCAGAGCAGGATGAGGGGGGACGGTAGACACTGGGTTTGGCTCTTCTGCCTCTGTGATTCCAGTGTCCGGCCTGAGCTGGGATTCAGCAGCACACACCTGCCCTCGGGGGCTCACAGCACTTCAGGAAAATGTGGATAACAAATTAGACCTATTTATTAGACCTTAGGGGGACAACATCTCTGAAAGGGGAGGCCACAGGGAGCAGCAGAGAGGGAGGAAGGAAAGAGACAGGAATATAAGTGAGAAGGTGAGTAAATGAATGGCTGAAAAGACAGCTAAGAAAGGACCACGTGTTTCTTAAACCTTACTATGTGCCACGCACTGTTGGAGATGCCTGGTTCTAGTTTACAGCAGTAAATAAAATAGGTATGCATCTGTACCCCTCTGGAGCTTCCTTCTAATGAGCACCAAGAAAACAAACAGGATAAACAACATGTATATGAGACAGTGATAGTGCTAGGGAGAAAGTAGCAAGGACGAGATGACCAGTGGAGAGTGTGTGCCAGGACTGGCGAGAGGGACAAGTTGCAAGCTTAGACAATACAACCAGGAAGGCACTACTGGGAAGGTAGGGTTGGGGCCAGGCTTACTAGAACAGCATTCCCAACAGGGAGAGCAGTATGTGCAAAGGCCTGGACGTGGAACAGATCTGGCAAGCTCCAGGAACATCAAGGAGGCCAGTATGGCTGGAGTGACCCAGGGAGACTGTTCAGCCAATGTCAGAGGTGATGGGGGCAGATGGCATTACAGGGTTTTGCCGGCCCATGTGAGGTGGGAGCCACAGGAGGATTTTTGAGCTGAGGGGCCGCATTTTAAAAGTCTACCCCAGACTACCAAGCAGACAGTGGCCTATAGAGGACAAGGTCAGGGACAGGGAGCCCTGTGAAGAGGCCAGCACAGGACACAGGGGGAGAGATGGAGGTCAGCGCCAAGCGGGGCATGGAGGAGCAGGAGAGTGGTCATGTAACCATTTGGAAGGTGGAGCAAATATCTAATTGCTGATGGATTAGCTATTGGGGTGGGGGGGGTCAAGGGTGACTCCTCCCACATACATGGCAGGAGGAATGGAACTGCCATGAACAGGGATGGGGAAGAGAAAATTTAAGATAATTACAAGCCTAGTTAGGTGTCATGGTCCATGCACAGGTTGGGAAAGAATTTCCAGACACAAGGCAGAATGAAAGAAAGGACCACAATATTAGGGTCTATGAGTGAGTGAGTGAATGAAACACTGAGAGGGTGTAAATAGGTCAGCAAGTTTCTGGGATGGCAGGGCCTGAGGTCATGTGTGTGGCTGCTGGGCAGGGCTCCTGCAGGGCTTACAGAGCTCCCCATCCCCACCTCCCTTGTCGGGGCAGTTCCTGAACCAGACGTCACGGATGGAGATCCAGCTGCTGGAGACCTCGCTGTCCACCAACAAGCTGGAGAAGCAGCTGCTGCTGCAGGACCATGAGCTCCAGCGGCTGCAGGGCCACAGCAGGTGGGCACTGGCCCCCTGGCACGGGGCAGGGACCAGGGCTGAGCTCCAGGGCCGGGCTGGGACCCAGGTGGGCTGGGCATCCGGGGTGAGCACCAGAACCAGCCCAAGCTGGGCTCCACTGGGTGGCGAGGGGGCGAGATTAAAAGGTGGACTTGAGCTAGTGCCCAGGATGGGGGCTAGGGCCAGAGGTAGAGGCCTGAAGACCGGAGCGAGGGGCACTAGGGCTGGAGCTGGAGCTGGGACGTGGCCAGGGCTAGGGCAAGGCCTGAAACCAGGGTAGGAGAGCAGGCTAAAGTTGAGAGTGAAGGTCGACACTGGGGCTTGGCTGAGGCCTGGCCACCCTGTCCTGTGTGGGGATAGGAGACAGGCATTTTCCTGGGGCTCAGGACACTCTCTTCTTTCTCTCTCTCTCTTTCTTTCCTTCTTTCCTTTCTTCCTTTATTTACTTTATAGATTTTAACAGCTTTCCTGAACTACCGTTTACATACCATACAATTCACCTTGTACACCTTAATTTGATCTACATATCTGGAAATAAATAAATATAATCTCACCTACCAACTCCTCTCCTTCCCAGAAACAACCACAGTGATATGTTTCTTATCTGTATTAGCAGAGAGTCTCAGCATTTATAAGCAAATAAACACAAAGGGAACACCCTTTAAATTACAAAGAGTCCTGGGGTACAGATAAGGCAGAGACATGGACCTCTGAAGCTGATTTCATCTCAGTTTCGAGCTGAGTGGAGAAAAAACTGCCAAGCTCAGGCTGGTGGAGAAAGCAGAACCCACACAGGTAAGCAGTCACAGGCCCATGTACAGAAGGAGATGTTATCATTGCTCATATGCTGAGTCAAGATACGGACACAAGGATCCTCAAGCTCCCTGTGATCTGGGGACCATTAATGATAGTTTGTGTACCTCCTTATTCTTACTCCCCACCCCAAGGGAAGGGGGGAGCGCTGGGACACTACCCAGCACTCTGAACTGAATTAAAGCGCCTAGAAACCAGTAAGCCAGCAGTGGGTTTCCCTGGTGGCTCAAATAGTAGAGTTTGCCCACAATGCAGGAGACCAGGGTTCAATCCCTGGGTCGGGAAGATCCCCTGGAGAAGGAAATGGCAACCCACTTCAGTATTCTTGCCTGGAAAATTCCATGGATGGAGAAGCCTGACAGGCTACAGTCCATGGGGTCGCAAAGAGTTGGACACGATTGAGCGACCACCACACACAGAAACCAGTGAAGATGGAGGGTGTCATCAATACACGCTTGGCCCATGGAGACAGCTAAAATTCTAGAATCCAGGTGTGCCCACATCCTCTCTCTTTCTGAGGCATAATCTGGGGTCCAGGGAAATTCCTCCGGCCCTGGCTGGACTCATTTTCTTACTCTGGAGAATGGTTGGCATAGCCTTGTACATAAGAAAATATCTCCCTCCTGCCTCATCTCTCAGCTACCCACCCACTGGCAGCAGAGGCAAATATGTATGCATAGTCCCCTTTTTAACCCTTTTAAACCCAAGTGGAACAGGCTATTCTTTGGCATGATGGTATTTTCTCTTTTTTTTCCCCAATTATCCTGGAGATAGTTCCATAACTACATGACACACTTGGGCATTCTTTTCTCCAGCTGCATAATGTTCCACTGGACGCCTGTCCCCAGATATATTTCCCAGGGCCCAATTAGTGGATACTGAGGTTGTTCCAGTCTTTTATGATTCCAACACATGGTGCTATGAATATCATTCCCATCCCTTACTGAACACACATGTGAACAAATCTGTAAGATAAAATGCCAGAAGTGCAAAAGCTGAGTCAAAAATTTCTTTCTTCTTAAAAAAACTCATTACAAAAATGCCTCATGCTTATTATATCCTCAGACAATAGACACTTGTACAAAATGAAATGGAAGGTTGGCCCCCTCCACCCACCCCTTCCTTTTCATTTCCATCCGCTCAAACCGGCACCACAGAAGTACCAGCCTTAGTAGATTTTCTTTCACATTCTCTATAAACACAGGTCCCACCATGTCCTTCCATATGTCTATCCACGCCTCTTCCTATAAGCTCCCAAGTATCCCTCTACATTTACCTTAATACCTTTCTCTTCCCCTTTTAATTTCTCACATGCAAGGTTAGACTACAGGCAGTGATGTGCCACTCTGAGTCCCTGGCCTCTTTCCCCTTCTGCACAACTGTGCTTAGCCTCCTTGCTCTTCAGAACCGCTCCAGATCATTTCCAGGGAAACCAGAACAGAACAGCCTCAGCCACTCCTGGCTGTTGTGCATTTTTGGCTGTTTTGTTTTTCCCTATTACAGCCAACTCCCCCAAAGGAGATTCTTGCCCATGCCCCCCACAGGCTGTCTGCGGTGAGTGGACTGCTAGGTCAAAGGACACACATATTTGGGATTTGATCACGGCTACCGGGTTGCGGGTGTCCCCCCCCCCCCCCCCCGCCCCCGGCCGCCCCAACCCCACCTGTTTCCTCTACTGGACCCTGAGGCATTTTACTCCAGGGCCAGGTTTCTCTTTCCTCCCTTCCTCACTCTGCTATCCGTGGGCACGGACCTTCCGGATGTGGAACCCTAAGGCAGGACGCTCCCTCTCCGAGCCTCGGTGCGGACCCAGGGGAAAGCCCTTGAGTGTGACTGCACACTGGGGGCGGCGGGTTCACCCTGTGCGCCCCCTCCCCTCCCCGCAGCGCGCTGGAGACGCGGGTGCAAGCCCTGGAGACGCAGCAGCAGGCGGAGCTGGAGAGCCTCCGCGGCGAGAAGGAGCAACTGCGGCGCCTGCTGGGCCGCCAGAGCGGCGCCCTAGCCGGCCTCCAGAGCACCCTGCGCGCCGCCAGCGTTAACTCCAGCCTCCTGCAGCGCCAGCAGCACCAGCTGCTCCAGTCGGTGCAGCGCCTGATGCGCATCATGGCCCAGGGCCCGGGTGAGCGACCGGGGCGCCCGGGGTGCGAGCGGAGGGCAGCAGAAGGGAGGGAGACCCTGCTTACCCTCCTGCCCTTTCACGCCTGTTCTGGCAGCCACTGCAGGAAGGACCATCCCCGCCCCTACCCATGAAACGGAAATGACAAAGAGTAGTCATCATGGTGACAACAACCAGAGTCCTAAGGGGAACAATCCAGACTCTTTCTCCTGACTCCATGAGTGACCTTGAGCATGCCCCATCCCTCTCTTGGTCTCCCTTTCCCCATCTGTTCAATGACGGTGATGATAAGAAGGACACCCCCAGCCCAGACTGACAACTTGGGGATTCCAGGATCCACCCTCCATCCCCGCTTGCTTGGGCTTGCCCCTCATCCCCAGGCCCCAGTTTCCCTGTCTACAGAATGGAGAGGTTGGATTCCGCCCCACCCCACCCCCCAAGGACTTCTCTTGCCCCCTAAACCAAGAGGGCCAAACAGAAGCAGAGACGCACCTCTGGATCAGTTTCCTAAGGACAAAGGCTGGGCCTGCTCCCCAGCCCCCACTTCTAATGGGGCCGACTTCAATCACTCAGTTCCAGGGTCAGTCACTCAGTTAACAAGCACTTACTGAGCCAGCCCGGTGCAGAGTGCTGGGGGTACAGCAGTGAACAGCATAGTTCCACAAATGTCTCTTGCCAAAAAAAAATGGCTAGCCCCCTCTGTGGGTCTCTGAGGGAAGGAGGAAGAAATGCATCTTTGTTAAGTGCCTGGTATGTGCTAGGTGGCCTGCTAGCAGTGTTCCTGAAGTTTCCAGACTTGTTTAATTGCTCAGCTTTGTGTGACTCTGCCACCCCATGGATTGCAACACGCCAGGCTTCCCTGTCCTTCACCATCCCTCGGAGTTTGCTAAGGCGCATATCCATTGAGTCGCTGATGCCATCCAACCATCTCATCCTCTGTCATCCCTTCTCCTCCTGCCTTCAATCTTTCCCAGCTTCAGGGTCTTTTCCAGACAATGGAAAGCCTAAAATTCTATGTGCAGGAGAGGGGACTTCAATCTGAGGGCTGCAGGGAGTCACAGGAAAGTTTTGAACAGGGTGAGACTAACTCATTTTCTAGGGACTAACTTTTAGGAAGTGTGATTGGAACCAGGGAGGGGAGAATGGGTGGTGAGAGAAAGGGAAAGGGTTCCTACCGCTGCTGGGTCACCATAGGGGGAAGTTGGAAAGCCTTTAAGGCACAGGAATTGAAAAATAATGATGGATTCCAGACACTGTGGCTGGCAGCAATGTGGAGACAGAGGACAGTACCATAGCGCCATCTAAGCTGGGCACCCCCATGAGGTGGAGGTTTGAAAAGGTTTGAGGTAGCCACAGGCAAGAGAGGTGGATACCGTCCATAGATGAGATTAACAGTGACCTGAACCCATCACTGGCTTGTGCATAGAGCCGTGGCAATGAGGCTGCTTAAATTCATCCTGTAGCTCAGCCAAAGGAATGGGGACTGGAGCCAACACCTCACCCCACAGGCTCGCTGCCAACCCAGTCTCCAGTTGTGGCCCAATGTCTGCTTCCCTTCCCCAGGGACCGGGGCCTGGCCAGTGAGACCATGGAGATCCTGTCCAGGGAATGTTTTTGCACAGACTGGGATGGATTGAGGGCTTTTGTCTCTTCATTTGCAATCTGGGAATAATAGCCTCCTTTCAACAGGGCCTCAGCTCCAAGATCCAGGATTGACGTTCAAGTATGAAGCCAAAAACAGTAAGTCACACACTTGGTAGCTTCCTGGTTCATCCCTGGTCAGGATACCTATCCATCTGGAACTTTAGCCCTGTCCATGGATACCCACCTTAAACTTAGTGACTCAGACATTAAAGGATCTCCCTGCAATGTGGGAGACATGGGTTAGATCCCTGGGTCAGGAAGATTCCTCGGAGAAGGAAATGGCTACCCACTCCAGTATTTTTGCCTGGAGAATTCCATGGACAGAGGAGCCGGGCGGGCTACATCCTTGGGGTCGCAAAGAGTCAGACAAGACTGACTGACTAACATTATTGGATACCCACCTACCCAAAGATTAGATTCTGGTGGATTCATAGCCCAAAGCTCTAATTGGATTCCACAAAAGGAGCCAGAGAGGGGATTTGAATAGTTTATTTACCAATAGTCACTTTTTTCGTGCTAAGCCTGGAGACACCCAGAGCCCTGGTGGAATTTGGCCATTAAATTATCCTCTCTTAAGGCCAATGATCAGTTCCCAGGGAAAGAAAAATGTAGGGGAGGGGCCCACCTAGGAGATGCTGGTAGAGTGGACTGTGGAGGGGACCCTGGGCCACCTACCCTGAGGGAGCTCTAAGGACAGCTGCCCAGTGAGACCCAGAGAGAAGGTAAGCCCTACTCATCCCTTCCCACCCGACCCAGTCGTGAGTCCTTGCGCCAGTTACCTCACTCTTGGGCCTCAGTTTTCTGGTTTATGAAATGGAGAAGTACCTCAGTGGAGTTGGAGCCCCAGTTACCTGTCCTGAAAGACTGTAACAGCCTCATCTCTGGCCTTCCTGCTTTGAGTCTCATCCCTCCCAGTTTCTGTCCTACACTCTGGCCAGAGAACTCTTCCTAGCCTCAGTCTACGCTCCTCAGCCCCATGTTCAAGACTGAAATCTCAAGACTCGTCTCTCCTTCCTTGACGACACTTTCTAGTTCATCAAACAGCCAGAGCTCCCTCTGGCCTCAGGTCTGAGATCAGGGTGAGTCATCTCCTCTCCGTGGCCTCGGGCAAATTCCCCATGTGTGTGTGTGTGTGTGTGTGTGTGTGTGTGTGTCTGTGTGTCTGTGTGTGTGCATGCGCGCGCGCGCGCGTGCTAAGTCAGTTCAGTCCTGTCCAACTGTTTGTAACCCCATGGACTGTAGCCTGCCAGGCTTCTCTGTCCATGGGATTCTCCAGGCAAGAATGCTGGAGATCTTCCCACTCAGAGATCGAACCCACGTCTCTTACGTCTCCTGCATTGGCAGGTGGGTTATTTACCATTAGCACCACCTGGGAAGCCCCAAATTCCCCTCACCACACCCCAATCCCAGCACACACCAGTCCTGTTCCCACATCAGAGCCTGCGCCTGTGCTGTTCCCACTGTCTGAGAGGATCCTCCGTCTACACCTGGGCAGTCCCTGCTCCTCGTCCAGGTCCCAGCTAACTGTCAGCTCCTCTAGGAAACGTCCCTGGGCCTGATACATTCTGTGTCCCCAACATCTCGCAGCCCAGAACCTCGCACAGAGCAGGCAGGAGTGCCCACTTGGCCCCTTCCGTCTCACTTTGTTATTTAGTTGATCAGTCATGTCTGACTCTTTGCAACCCCATGGACTGTAGCCCGCCAGGCTCTTCTGTCCATGGGATTTTCCAGGCAAGAATACTGGAGTGGGTAACCATTTCCTTCTTTTAAAAAAAATTTGTAATAATATATTTTATTGAAGTATAGTTGACTTACAGTGTTTTAGGTATACAGCAAGATGATTCAGTTATATGTATACACATATATAATTTTTCAGATTATTTTCCATTATAGAATATTACAAGATATTGATTATAGTTCCCTGTGCTATACAGTAAACCTTTGTTGCTTGTTGTGTGTGTGTTTTCTTTTAAATTAGAAATATACTGTTCTATTCATACTAAGTCAAATAAGTAGAATCAAAATTTGTCATAAATTTTTAGCTAGGCAAAGTTTCATAAGTTTTCTAAAGGGATCTTCCTGACCCAAGGATCAAACCGCATCTCCTGCATTGGCAGGTGAATTATTTATCACAAAGGCACACCCACCTTCATCAATGTACATGCATGCTCAGTCGTGTCTGACTCTTTGTGACATCATGGACTATAGTCTATAGGCTCCTCTGCCCATGGGATTTTCCAGGCAAGAATACTGGAGTGGTTGCCAGTCTCCAGGGAATCTTCCCAACCCAGGGATCGAACCTGAATCTCCTGTGTCTCTGCATTGGCAGGCGGATTCTTTGCTACTGAGCCACCTGGGAAGCATTTTGCTCTCTGCTAATTGTTTTCACCTTGTCTCATTGCAGCCTCCATGAAGGCAGATGAACGGGTATTCCAGGACTGTGCAGAGATCCAGCGCTTTGGGACCAATACCAGTGGCATCTACACCATCCATGTGGCCAATATGACAAAGCCCAGAAAGGTTAGGGGGCTCCTTGCGGACTGAGGCTATCACAGGGTGCTGAGCCAAAGGGCCCCTGCTCACCCCCACCTGCTCCCCACATTCACTTCAGGCCTTGTCCAATATCTGAGATCCCAGAGAAGGTAGGGGTGACCCAATGAGGGGTCAGATCATGCAGTTAAAGCAGATATTTTCTAGCTTGTTCCATGTGGGATATTAGGGACTGGGGCTGATGAAGACCCTGAACTTTGAGGACCAGTTATCAAATGTGTGGAGGGAGGGTAGTCAAGGCAAAATGTGGATGTCAGGAGGGAGGGTTTGGGGGCCAAACCCAGAAGTGGAAGAGTTTAAGGAACAACTAGCCCATCTTCCACTTCATATTCCCTTTTCAGTTTTCTTTCAACCTTGCTGAGTATATCGAGAAGAATGGCTCAGATTATCTTTAACAGTTCTCACACACCTGCTGAACCCCCTTGTAACAAAGAGAAATCAGGCCTTCAATTTCTAGCTAGAATTTTATAACACTATTTTGTTTTATTATATATAGTTTTATAATTATCTGAATAAAGGCAAGTGTTACTAGTTTTCCTTTCATGGTACTAATAAGATATCCTTTCTAAGATGCATTCAGTCTGAGTATTTACTTAAGTGAAAAAAGACACCACTTTTCAAGTAAATATTTTATATGAAATTAAGTAAATTCAGCTATGGTGGAATTTGGGAAGTGTGAATAGCTGACATTTGGGAACACTGATAGAGAGGGAAGAGCTGGCCTGGGAGGTAAGAGATCTGGGCTCAAACTTCAGCTTTACTTTTTACTCATTCTCCTTGAGCAAGTACGTTCCCCTCTCTGGACCTCAGTTTCCCTTCCTGCAGTCTCTGCTAGCCTCACAACACATACCACTGTCTTCTCTCCTGAACAGACCTTTAACATCTCAGAACCTCTCTTCCAGCTATTCCCCTCCTCCACTGGAAATGTTATTTCCACTCATCTCTATCTGGCAGGCATATCAACATCCAAAGCCTTGTTCCAATGCCACTTCCCCTGGGCAGCCTTCCAGGGCTGCCCCTGACTCTTTCTTGGGAGCTCATCTTGTAGCTGCCCAGATGTTCATATTCAGTAGTCTGCCAGTTGTATCAGACCTGCTAGCTGTATCAGTCTGCTAGCTTCCTCCAGATCAAACCAGCCCTGGGGGTTGATTTATCTCTCATTTGTCTCTGATTTGTCTATTAATAGTATGGAACTAGACACCAAGTATGTCTTCATCAAACATTGAAATCTACTGAACTGGCTGAAAAAATATGTAAACAAAAGTTAAACTGAAAGATGTGATTGCAATGGATGGTAAGCTCTTCAAAAGAATGAACTCTTTGTCTTATCCATATTTACATTCTCCATGCCTTGAATGGAGTCTGCTACCTAGTAAGTACTCAGAAAAACATTTGTCCACCAAATGTAATAACATATTTTTTTTTTTTTGGTATCTTGTCCCGACCGCATGGCGTGCAGAATGGTTCCCCAACCAGGGATTGAACCCAGGCCTCCATAATAAAAGCACTGAATCCTAACCACTAGGCCACCAGAGAACCCCTGTAATAACATTTCCTGAGTCTACACCATATATCAAGCACTTTATACCTCTTGGCATTTCATTCTTAAAGGAACCCTGCAATAATAGTGAATAAAAAGACTCCGTTTACTGAGTTCTGTTCTTTAGATGGATGACTCATCTAATTCTCACAATTCCAGTGTGCAGATGAAAACCTAAGGCACAAAAAGATGAAGGTATTGGCATCTTCAGTGGACAAATGAAGAGAGGAAGGGTCTGGGCCTGGATCTGTGCGATGCCCTTGACCACCTAGCTCACTGCTTGCTTTGTGATGTTCTGTTAGTCAGATGACCCTCAGGCTGGCCCAGACCTGGCTTCTGGCTACCTCCAGGGACTTCGAATTCCCCACCTTTTCAATTCTCTCCAGGTGTTCTGTGACATGGAGACCAGAGGAGGTGGGTGGACCCTCATTCAGCGTCGTGAGAATGGCAACGTGAATTTCCAGCGGAACTGGACAGATTACAAAGAGGTAACATTACTGCCCTGGGGAGGATCTTGTCAGTCCTGAAACCTGGGGCAGGACTTGGGGTGTGGGCAGGCATCTGGTTTGCCCTCAACCCTTCTCAAAAAAAAAAATCAGCCTGCCTAAACCAACTCCCTTTAAACAGGTTTGGCCAGCACACATTTCCTGTCAGGGACTCCAACACCCAAAATTGAACCTTCTTTTTGCAAGTCCTGACATATATCCTAAAAATGAAAGTTTAGCTTTCATTTTATTTTAGTTTTTGCAGAAGATACACATTGCTAGAAAAATTTTAAAGAATACCAAAAAATGGAACAGAAAAAAGTAACGTCTGCTGCCCACCCCTGGATGCACTGCTTAAATGAATGTCTTTGTCTTAACACACATACATGACTACATTTGCAGGAGAGATTTTTTAATGCAGAATTGCTGGCTCAAAGACCCCATGCATTCTACAAGATGAGGGATAATGTCTGATTGTCTGCCAACTTTTTAATTAAATTTTGAGTAAAGGATTTTTGGCAAGCTGACTTAAAAGCTCTTAAAGTTTTTAAGAGCAAAAGAAATAGAAAAAGATACTCACACGGAAATATAACAATACTATTTTGTGTGTGTCTGCTTGCTGTCCTTTTGATAAATACTTGAAAATGAATACCAAATTAAGTAATGAGTGTTCTTGAACCAGTTGGGTTTTAAAGGATCATTCAAATGGCAAAAAGAAATAGGGTGCTCAGAAGCAGAAATACACAAAAGGGTGCTGACTATAAACCATTAGACTGATCAGTGGTACTAAAAGGGGGAGTGGGGCTTAGGTATGCCCTGTCCTTAGTGCTGAATTACTGTCCTGGCTAAGGGTGTTGGATACTTGTCACCCTGGGATACTTTCCACCTCAGTGCTCTTCATTTTACATTTCTGTTACTGAAATTTTGCAGTGGCTGCCATGTCACTGAACAAAGTTTGCTCTACCATGTATGAAGCTGATTTAAGTTTTTAGTTAGTTTTTAATTGAGATTTAATATACATGCATTTCTGTGCACAAATCCTAAGTGTAAGTAAGATTCAATGACTTTTCAGTGAATATGTATTCACCCATGTGACCACCATTCAAAGATAGATATGCAACATTCCCAGCACCCCAAAAAACCTCCTTGTGTCCCCTCCAAGTCAAGACACCCCCAAAATAGTGGTTATTCTGACTTCTACCACCACAGACTTTTTTTGGCCTGTTCTTGAACTTCATAGAAATGTGCTTTCAATTGCTTTTAACAGATTTTTACATTTACAAAAGTCTTAGTCTTTTTACTCTAGAAGTTGGGGAGCTCCACCCTTAGGCCTGCCCACACTATTCTTTATGAACTTGGTCATTTAGCAAAGTGGCTTTGGGTGAGTGTCCCCAGAGCCTGGCCCAGCCCAGATCCTTAACCAGAGGCGTAGCCTCTGTCCTCTGCATGCAACCCACCCCCATTCTCCCCTTCCCTAGGGCTTTGGCAACCCAGCCGGAGAGCACTGGTTAGGCAATGAAGTGGTGTACCAGCTCACCAGCAGGGGAACCTACTCTTTGCGAGTGGAGCTGCAAGATTGGGAAGGCAACGAGGCCTACACCCAGTATGATCACTTCCAGCTGGGCAGCGAGAGGCAGCTGTACAGGTGGGCTTGGGGCCCAGGCTGGTGGGCGGGCGGGGGACCCTGGGCTAGTGGCTACGGAGTCTGCACCAGGGGTCAGTCCCTGGGTGTCTCCTGTTCCTGCCATCTGTCCCCCATCTGGGCGCGCGTCATGGGCTCGGGAGGTGGCTGGTTAGCACTCAGCACAGCCCGGCCACTGGGTGGGGTGGAAAGAATGCCGCTGACGCTGCCGTGCCAGGAGCGGGAAGGGGCCTTCCAAGGTCAGTCACTCCGAGTCAGCCATTTTGCACAGGCCTGGAATCGGGGAGGTGAGGTTCCCAGCCTGGCCTATGCTGTGAGGTGAAGTGGAAAGGTCTCCGGGCTGGGAAGTGAGAGAACTGGGCTCGTTCTCGGTCTCTCCAGCTCGCTGTGTGAACTCAGGCGAGTCAAGTCAGCTTCTCCGTACCTCTGTACCACAGGTTGGCCTTAAATATGAGCAACTTATAAAATCATCAAGCTCTCCCACCATCCCCCTCAGCCTGGGTTCTTGGTCCCATTCAGAAAAAGAAATGAGCATTTCTTGAGCACCTACTATGTTCCAGGCACATAACTCCATTTAATCCTCCCGATAACGTTTTGAGGGCTTCTCCGGTGGCTCAGATGGTAAAGAATCTGCTTGAAATGCAGGAGACCTGGGTTCGGTCCCTGGGTCAGGAAGGTCCCCTGGAGGAGGGCATGGCAACCCACTCCAGTATTCTTGCCTAGAGACTCCCCATGGGTGGAGGAGCCGGGCTACAATCCATGGGGTCGCAGAGAGTCAGACACGACTGAGTGACTAAGCACACACGCACACATAACCTTAGGAGGTAAGTGTTGCTATACCTGCTTTAGTGATGTAGGAATTGCCCAGAGTTACAAGGTAAGGAAGGCCTGGTTTTGAACTCATTCTTGCTGCCAAAACTCATTGTGTTTCTCCTCCATCTTGTTATGTCTCTGAGAAACTCGAGGATATTAAAGATAAGCTATCTTGGAACCAGGACAGAATTAAATTCATAGACGCATGCTCCTGGGCCACAAGGGACCTCACATGTCATCTGGTTTTTCACATGATGCTAGAACCTCCTCCATAGTCACAGTCATCATCCAACCATGTTGGAATGCTTCCATTAATGGGAAGCCACTTCCTTCCAAAGAATCGCTGATGACTCTGACCCCTTGGACTGTATGCCTCGTTCCCCCTCTGACGGCCTCTCAGTGATGTGCCCCCAAACCCTCTTTCTGTGAAATTTTCCTGGTTCCTCCAGTTGGCTGCTTCTGACATCCCTCTTTATGGGACTCAACCCAATCTGATAATGCTCTTTCCTGAAGTGTAAGGTCTGGAGCTAAATGAAACATCCCCAGGTCTGGGCTAGGCTGCCTGAGCGGAATGCCCCCTGACTCCTCGAGCTGACCAATAAGTAGCCACAACACCTGGCTGACCTCTCTTTAAGCCACTGACCACCAAAACCAAGGCTTAAATCCTGTCTTTATACTTATCTCCCTGAGGGACCCTGAGCAAGTCGCTCCCTCTACTGTCTCATCTATGAAATGGGTGCCCAAAATGTACCCACCTCAAAGTGCTGTGAAGCTTGAATGAGACACTACACATGGAGCATTAACACCAGCACTTAGTAAACATTCAACAAACAATACTATACTATTATATTACAATTATTGTTCCCAAGCCATCCCTTCACACACTTTGCTGGCCTTCTCTGTGCGAGTTCACTGCTGTTCCCATCCCTAGTGCCTGGGACATAGTAAGTGCATAACAGGAAGTGGGGGGTCCCTCCCTTTCCTACACATGTAACAGTTAAACTTCATTTCATCTCCATGACCCAATTCTGGGGCAGCAGCTTCTGTGGCCCCAAGTCCATGATCTGCCATTTCTCTTAGGGAAGGAAATATCAGGAAAATATTATATCTCATTGTGCTAAAGAACATGGCCCTAGAGCCAGATTGCCCGGGGTCTGAACCCTGACTCTTTCACTTGTCAGATTCATGACCTTAAACAAGTTACTTAACTCTCTGTGCCTCAGTAAAACACACTATCCATGTCATAATTGAGATAACCTGTGGGAAAACACCTAGCATATGGTAAGTGTTAAGTAAATGTTAGAGATATATAAGCAATATATCCAAAGACAGAAATACAGTACCTCTACATCTATGTATATCTGTTATTTATGTCCGTTTATACAAACATTCGCATTTATGTTAAATTTGGAACCACTTGCTGTGCTCTCCTATGTGAATTTGATGTGCTGCCTCTGACTTTTTATCTGAGACCCGGAGAAGCTCCCTGCCCATTACTCTCAGCTCTCAAAGGGCCCACATCTACTTCACCCTTTGCAGACCCCAAAATAATAACAACAATATATTGAACACTTGCCCTGTGCTAAGTGTGGGCTGGCCTTGGTCATTTGGAGAAGAATCAGACCTGCGCTCTGCCCCTCAAAGTTGTTCACAGGCCAGTGTGTCGTGTGTATCTTAGGATGAGTGTGTCTTCCCACACCCCCAGGAGTATAGGAGTTGCCTAAGGGGACAGCACAGGAGCATAGAGACACTTATGCTATCAAGGAGGGCTCCCTGGAGGAGGTGATGCCTATGAAGAGTAGGCATTCTCCAGGCAAAGAGAGGATAGAGAGGACACCCCAGGCAGCAGGGATATTCTGGGGGGGGAAAAAAGACAGAAGAGTTGCCATCTAGCTGGCCATGGAAACCTTAAACTTAAGCCACGCTCTTTCAAAGGCTGCTGGGATCCTAAAGAATAGGCCCTGCTCATTCAGGAACAGTTTGGAAGGTCCTGGAAAACACAGAGGGGCCTGGAAACTGCCAGAGAAGGGCTAGGGGAAAGTGACAGAAACAGATGCTGGTTCCTGGGCCCCCACTGTCCAGAGTCAGCTGCCTGGTAAGATGAGGAGGATCCTCTGAGGGAAGCCCGGAGGCAGGGAAGCCTGGCGGTCAGCAGCTGGGGCGTGGGCAAGAGGGGCACCCTTACATGTCAGATACAGTGATGGGGACCCTCCGGAGCCCAGCTGGGGTGCATGCAGAAGCTGCAGAGAAGTAGCCATGGAGTGGGGTGAGGGAGGCCCAGACAAGGCGCAGCACGCACTGAAGTAGGCACAGGCCTCCCCGAGGTGCCCACGCACCCAGACCCGGCACAAGCGCAAGATACATAGAGAGGTGCGTAGGGACATGCACAGACACACATGTTCGTACGGAGGGGCTCACCACACCCCTGGGATACATACATGGACCTTCAGAGCACAGAGACCCATACAAGTGCCATAGCTACCCAAACCAGCACAGGCATGCCACCAGGCACCTGTGCAAACATGCCTCAGAGAAGCCCTTGCAGATAAACACATGCACAACCCCAGCCACAGGCAGATTTCAGAGCATGCTCAGACCCACCATAGATAATGCTGCACAAACTCAAAACACAAGCACACGTACACACGCAGGCCCAAAGGCGCATATCCAAATGCTCACGACCTCAGACACACAGGCTCACACCCCTTCTGGATCTCGCTTGGGGACGTCCAAGGACTCATGTGTTTGTTTGCGTTCCCCAGGCCTCAGCCATGAATATGTTCAAAATGTATCTGAAAAATGGGTCAAGTGGGGTTTCCTGGCCCATGACTTGAGGGTCCCCTAGAGATTGCAGATCCCCCTGCTGGCTCCCAGAGGAGAGGGGAAGGGACACTGAGGACTTGGGCCCAATAAGGGGCTGATGCTGCTGCATGACCTCATGAGATCATTTGGCTTTGTCCAACACTGATTTCACGCAGCCCCAGACTAGACGTGACCCCCAACCTCAGCCTGAGTCCCAAGTGACATGTCTGAGCCCGTAAGGGGAGCCGTCAACAGTCACAAGAAGCTGGAACCTTATGAGCAGGTGGGCCAGCCAGCCTGTTCCCACCCCAGGGAGGCCCTGGCTAGGTGGGCCTCTTGGAAGGGGGTTTGCAACACCAGTCATGTGAGCCCAGGGTGATATATTTAAGGGCATAGTTGAGGCTTCATGACTGCCTGCCCTGAGTTGGCCCTGCCCTCTCCGCAGGCAGAGTCCATGGGTGGGAGGTACCAGGACGGAGCTAGGCCACATGCCCAGGCACCACCTTTCCTCTGGATCCCTCCGGGGGAATCTTGCAGGCCCTGCCCTGGGGAACTCCCCTGAGCTCCCCTGAACTGCCCTGGCTGGACCTGGTGTCCATTTGCCTCCACCCGGAAGACCTTCTTGATTGCTCCCAAAGTGGCTCACGCCGAAGCTGTCAGTGGAGCCCCTCCCCCGCTACAAGCCCCCAGCACTGTCTTCAGTCAGGCTCAGTGGAAGCCTGTGCCAGCCGCATGCCCCGGGCTGGAAACACATGGACAGGACAGGACGGATAACAACAAGCCCTGAACGTGCTGGGCACCTAGCGCGTGCCAGCACTGCTCCACGCTCGTCACATGCTGAGGTCACCTCCTCACAATGACGGTTAATATGCTATCATTACCGTTTTAAAAAAATGAAGAAGCTGAAGCTGAGAGGTGAAGAAATCTGCCCACAAGCATGCAGCTGGTGAGCAGCAGAGCTGGGATTTGAATCCAGGCATTTTGTCCCCAAAGCTCATGGCTGTAATCACCACACAGGCCTCAAGGTGCCTGCCAGGGTCTTGTAGCCTGATAAATAGAAACCTTCCCCAGCTGGCTTCAAGGGTCGAAGTCACAGGTGTTGGGGTGCCTTGGGGCCTGATCCATGTGGGCTGGTGTGGTCAAGGAAGTCTTCCTGGAAGTGGGGGCCAGAGGATGAGTGTGAGGAGATATGACAGGGCTGGGGATGCAGGATGGTCAGCTGGGGAGGGAAGGCACACAGCTCCCAAGTCAGGCCACTTGGGGCAGGCTCCTTTGGCTCTCGGGAGCTCTGTTTCCTCTTCTGTAAAACAGGAGTTTTAGGGTATGGTGAGGATTAAGCAAGGATGAGTTAACTCATGTAAAGCGCTTTAAACAATGCCTGGCACATAGTCGATGTTCAAAAAGTGTTAGCCATGGTCCTCATTAATACTATTATCATTATCACAGCCACTCTCACAACCGTCCAAGACTCAGGTCCAGCTGAGAGGGTCCTGGCACACATGGGGACTCTGTCCCTGGAGGCAGCAGGCAGGGAAGGCAATCCAGGAGGGGAGATGGCCCCGCATCCCAGGATGGGGCTCCCTTCCCAGGACAACCAGAGGGGAGCCCCTTCCTCAACCAGCCCCAACCTGACTCTGGGCCTCTCTCCCATCACCACCTCCGGGTGGCCTCCAGGCTTTCTCTGAGTGGGTACAGTGGCTCAGCAGGGCGCCAGAACAACCATAGCGCCAACTTCAGCACACTCGACGCAGACAACGACAACTGCCGCTGCAAGTGTGCCCAGTTGCTGTCTGGAGGTGGGTGCCAGATGGGGTGAACCCATGCCTCCACACAGGCTCACCTGGCCGAACACCTTCATCCCCTCCCCACTTGGGTCTTTGTGCAGCCAGGTGCCATCAAGAAGTGCGTACAGGTCAGGGTCTCACTCACTCGCGGGCTGGCCTGGCTGTACCTCATCCAAACTCCCTGCTTCCACTGAGTCCTTAGGGTCCCCTTCAGGGTCTCACTGCCCCCTAAAGCGGGCACCTCCAGTTCTCCGCTGAGACCTTGGAGCAGCACTGATGGTGGGGACCAGGGTGCACCCTAGGGGGGTGAAGTGCCTAATCTGCTCCAACCCCAGATCTGAGACTCCCCCCCAACCCTCCTCCAGGCCAAGCAGGATCGGGAGGAGGGAGACCTGGGTGGGGGGCAGAGGGGCAACTGCCCATCAACTCTGACTCAGGCAGTGTTTTCTGCAGAGAGCGACGTCAGAGAGCAGGAGATGGGATGTGAGAGATGGAATGAGAGGGACAGAGATCGGAGGGGACCTCCGGAGACACAGAGACAGGGACAGATGGAGATGAGAGAGACATCAGGACAGACAGACAGAGAGGTGGACACAGCGCTGCAAAGGGACAGGGGTAGGTACAGAGTGAAAGGTGGAGAGAGAAACATAGACCACATTTCATCCACGAAAGACGGATGGAAACTGGGTGAGAAGCAGAGAGACCCAGAAAGGCAGGGTCACAGGGAGCAAAGAGAGACAGAGACATCAGAGAGACAGACCCAAGCTCCCAGCCTCTGGAGGCCCCAGGCTGAGGAGAGGGTCTGGGGATCTCCTGCCCATTCCCACCCAACCCCACCCTCAGCAAGCTGGCTTCTCTCAGAGGCCAACAGCCCTGATTCATCTGTGGGGTATGGGGGCTGCCCTCACCCTATTGACTGCGTCCCCACCTCCCTAAAGCCTCTTCCTCTCGCCTCCACCAGGGTGGTGGTTTGACGCCTGTGGCCTCTCAAACCTCAACGGCATCTACTACCCAGTCGGCCAACACCTGCGCAAGATCAACGGCATCCGCTGGCAGTACTTCAAGGGTCCCAGCTACTCGCTGCGCGCCACTCGCATGATGGTGCGTCCGTTGGGCATCTAAGGGACAGCCACGCCTGGAGGCTGGTCCCACGGGAGGACCTGGCCATGGTATCCCCTGGACAAGCTGGACTTGAACACAGGACACAATGCCAGGACCTTGTCCCGGACAGCCTGGGGGTCCCCTGAGCCAGCCCTCCTTGCCCCAGGAGTCCAGAAGAGTCACCTCCTGCCCTTTTCCCCTCAAGTTGTGAAATGGTGGACATTTGGGGGTTCCTGCCTCTTCAGTGTCCCTTTTTCCTCTTCCCTCCTGCTTCCTGCAGGGCCCTCCTGCCTGCCTGAGGGTTGCAGTATTCTGAATGAGATACTGCATAGCGGAGAACAGATTTAACTGAGCTCTGCAAAGGAATACGCAGCTAGTGGTGGAATCTCAGGCAGGTGGGAAGGTATTTACAGGAGGAAACCGCCCAGGTGGAGGCCCAGATTCTGTCCCCGGGTTCTTGGGTAAGCCATCTCTTGTTCTAAGCTTTCTCACGTCCTTGAACATCCTTAAACTTTCTGTTTGAGACAGAAGGAGCTGTGTCCCCCTATACGGGAATCGCCATTTGCACCCACACTGTCCATCACTCCTAGGCCCCAGCATCTAAAGCTCAGACATGGTTTCTCAGGAGCTCCAGGATGTGGGCTGTGGATGCCCTTAGAGAAAATTGGTTCTCCCAAGTCATGAGTTAAACCCCAGGCCCCATCCCCACCCCCAGCTGTTTTCACCATTTTCAGCGATGAGGACCACCATGACATTTTCAGACAGCCTCTAAAAACAACTGGAAGGAGGATTTGGGTTAAAACAGACATGCTGTCACGGAAAAAGAGTCTAGAACTAAGTCTTTGGTCTTAGAACAAAGTGTGCCAAGGCTTCTCTGGCCATAGGAAGCCAGTTTTCTGGCTGGGGCTGCCCTCCACCCTTCTTGTGTCCCCAGCTCATGCCAGCTCTCAAGTTTAGGGACTCTTGGGGACTGCCCACTCTGCCTTGAGCAGAACACCAATCGCTGGGTCCAGATCCTTCCTGCCTCCAAGCCAGAACTCCTAGTCTCCTCCTCTCTCATCCAAGAGTGACACTGCAGTTATCCATGGAGACTGGGCTTTGCTGAGTCTGGACAATCAGGGGCTCTTCATGAGCTTCTTTCAGAGGACAGGAGCAGAAAGGGGCCACGGCCACTCTGCCACCCACTCCCATTACTGTGTCACCCACCTCAGTCCTGATGTGGCCACTGAAGACCTGTCGTCCTCAGCCAACACCTGGGCCCAGCCAGGACCAACCTGCCCTCCCGCCCGGACACCCCTCTATCTTCAGAAGGATTTTCTCCTGCATGATGCTGTGCGGTGGAAATAGGGCACCTTCGTCCCGCCTGGTTCTGCCCCAGCTCCCACCTCCACCAATCCCCTGAGTCAATCCAGCACAGATTAGTGCTGATCTTCAGGGAAACCAAAGGGTGTGGTTGCTAATGGTGACATTTCAGGCAGGAGGGAAAAGTACCTAGGGGCAGGTTGCAGCCCAGAAGGCTGATACCACCTTATCCAGCATTTGCTAAACGAGCCTTTATTTAGCATTTACTGTATGCAGCGTGGTGCTCTGGGCAGGACTTTGGAGTCAGACAGACCTGCTCTGGCTCTTGAACTTGAAACTGGTGGTCCGGCCTCTCAAGGTCTCGATCGTCTGGTGTGTGAGATGGAGATGGTGATTCTCCCTCCTCACTGTGCCAGGGCAGGAGGAAATGAGACCGTGTCTTTCAGCCTCTTGGCAGAGCCCCGCAGAAAGCAGGTACCTAATAAATGTTAGTTCCCAAAGAAGTGAATGGGGTGGAGATATTGGCCCTAGTAGTACATGCCACCCCTTCTCCTGGACCTAGGGATGGTAAGTGCTTTATTTTTGTAGCTACAGCAATTTTTTTTTTTTTTTTTTTTTTTTTTTTTACTGCAAGTGTATAGGCACTGCTGGGAGCCCCAGGAACAGAGCTCCTCTGGGTGGGGTGAAGGCTCCAATCCCTACCTGCATTCCAGTTGTCTAAAAATGCCAAGAAGCCAATTGGGGTAACCCTCACATATCTGTTCTTTAAAATGTTCATCCTTCCTTTTTAACTTTCCTTCCTTCTCTGTGCCAGGATTCTCAAGTGCAAGGGACAGAAAACTTATCCCGAGGAGTGGATTGACTCACATACAGGGAGTCTAGTGATAGATTCAGGTGTGGTTAGATCCAGGTGCTCAAATGATGTCGCCCCTCACCTCTCAGGCCTGTCATCCTTCCTGCTGACCTCATTCTCCATCAGGTTCTCTTCTGACATATGGCTCCAGCAACCGTAGGCTCGTGTTCTGCCTGCTTAACATCCCTCAGCCAGAAAGCTCTCCTGTCCCAGTGATTCCAACAAGGGCAGGATTCTTTCCAGCCAGGATTCATCCTGTGACCATCCTTGCACTTACCACTGTGATTCTGGTTGACCGGACCTGGGTCACACGATCATGCCTGGAACCAGGGACTGAGGTCAGTCCCCTCCAAGGCATTGGATTGGCCTTGGAGAAAACGAAGAGCCGCTTCAGGAAGCAGGGATGCTGGGTAGTCAAGAACAGGGGTTCACTTTTTCTCCTTCCCTCTTGCAGATTCCCATAGCTCATCTCTATCCCTGCCCTTTCTCCTAGGCTCCGTGCCCCCAAGGCCTGTCCCTCGGGCTCCAGGTAATCCCTGGTTTGTCCCAGACTATCAAGGACACTGCTGTGTCCTGCCCAGAAGTGTCAGACCCTAGTCCACAGTCCCAGCTCCGCCCCTGGAGCAACGCCCCTGGCCCTCTGAGCCTTTACTGTTCCCATCTGTGCTATAAGGACCGAGCACCTGTGGATGCCCAAAAGACAGCAACACTGACTCGGCACAGCTGCAGACATGAACAGCTAGAGGACTCTGGGTGCACAGGGTCCTGGGGCCTGGCTGACATGGCCTTGGCCTTGGCTGGGTCTCCTGAAGCCACTGCTTGCAGAAACTGCAAGGATACCTACATCTGCAGGTTCCTACGTAGAAGCCTTGTCACCTCTCTCTGCATCAGACCAGCATTCTCCCCATAATAGTCATGAAGAAATTAGAGCTCAGAGAGGGAAAGAGTTTTATCCAAGCAGCTCAGCCAACACCACCTCCAGTGCACTTGCATCTTTCAGTTGCCTTCCTTGTCCAGAGCTCTCTGGAGGCATCTTGGCATCAACCACAAAAAGGCTGGAGTGGTGTCCTCTCCACCCATATCAAAGGCTGAACGAACCTTCTGGAAAGTTTTCCAAGACTATTCTGTCTTTCCCACTGGCATCTGGTAAATCCCCGTGGAGCCAGGCAGGGAGAACACATTGTTCCCGAGATCTCTGCATGTTTCCAGCAAAGGCAGTTTCCACACTGGGGAAGAGAGTTCACTGTGCACAGCCTAGAGACAGCAACCATGGGTGGGGTACGAGGTGGCCCTTTCCTGGGTGTAGTGGAGTGGCCAGCATCAGGATGGTTTGTTTCGGTAGAAAGGGATATTTGTCCCCTTTCTGCAGACTGTACCCCCACCACCACCACCACAGTGTCCATGTGGGCCTTCACCTCTCTCATGAAAGATGCTTTGGAAGCTAACAGTGTTGCCTTGGCGACAGCAGCGTCAGCATCTTTTGATGGAGCAGCCCTTCAGAGAATGGAGTCTGATTCAGGCCACAGCCAGCATAAATGTGTTACTTCTTGTATTAGATCAATGTGTAACGTATCCTATTGAGCTGCTGTTGGATGTGTCCAGAAGACAGGGAAGTCCAATGGCATTTAGCATCCCACACTTTCCTACCCTTCCCCGTTAGACCTCTCTGATCCTCACTTTCCTCATCTGTACAATGGGGAGATTGTGATCTAGTCACAGGGAAGTCGTGCAGGTTCAGGGCAGCAGTGAATGTCCAGGCTTGGCACAGTCACTCAGGTATTTTATTCGTTCATGCACATATTCACTCATTCATATAGCAAGGATGTACTGAGGACCTTGTCTGGACCAAAGCCTGCCTCAGTGATGGGGGAGCCGCAAACAAGACAGACAGGCAGCCACAGTCCAGAAATCATAGTGCTTAAGAGACTAAAGGGAAAGACTCACCAAAATCAAAATGTTTTAATTTAAATTAACTGATTAGTTAATATATTATAAGTGAAGAAAATAAATAGGAGTTACAGGTAAAAGATTTCAGAGGGTCCAACTGGGCAGGATGATCAGGGAAAGACTCTGAAAAAAGTCACTAAGTCAAGGACGAAAAGTGAGAAACAGGCTGTCAGGTGAGGAGCTGTGGGAAGAGCTCTCCCACTAGAGGGAACAGCATGTGCCAAGGCCCTGGGGTGGTCGCAAGGAACTGTAAAGAAGTTAGTGCAGAGGAGTGATGCCACTGAGCCAGTGCTGCCACTCCCCAGTGAGCTGGGGAGAGGGTGGGAGAGGTGCCCCCAGCACCTTTATCAGAGATCAACTCCTTGCCCAGTGCCTACCAAGAACTGGATTGGGCATCACTCTGAATGGACCTGTGCAGCTGAGGCAAAGCCCTGCCCCTCTCTGGACCTCAGTTTCCCGATCTGTAAAATGCAGGCTAGGGATCACCTCTTTCTGAAAGTCTTTCAGATCCTGGGTCAAGGGCCCTGGAGGGCTCTGTGTCCACTGCCCTGAGCCCTGAGCCACCAAGGGAGTCAGAAGGAGGAAGAGAAAAATAAAAGGCTTGCCCTTGGGCTAAATGAGAGTTAGGGGGTTATGGGGGGCCGGGCTTGTGCAGAGATAAGGGGCTTTAACCACATGCCTCCTCTGTTTTAGTTCTACACACATCATTTCTGAATCCTAGCAGGTTCTTTTGTTGCCCCCAATTTACAAAAGTGGAAATTGAGGCTCAGAGAAGTAAAGTGCCTTGCCTGAGGTCACACAGTGAGTTCTGGTTTGGGCTAAGTCGCTGTAGCAGAAAGACCCTAAAACTCAGTGAGTTAAATATTTCTCTTTTGTGCGAGTCTGGAGTTGAGTAGTCTGTGTCTTGTGCGTGGCTCTGCCATCCTCGACCACAGCTGCCTTCTCTGGGACCAGGGCAGTTGTACTCAAAGGTGACACTTCCCAGCTGGCAGGAAGAGGCAGGACATCCGGCACCGCTTCCCCTCTGGCACCTGCCCTCTCACCCCAGCCTCATGTTTTGCCTGGAAGATCCCAGCAGCCTTGTCATAGGGACCCGTCTCCAGGTGTGCTCCCTCCTGGCCTACAGTCATGTCACTTCCCCGTCTAGAACCTTCAGTGGCTCCCAAATACCCTGAGTTCAGCCTACCCGCAGGATTTTATCACTCAGCTCAACCCTTTCCCAGCTCCACCCCTGCTCCATCGGTTCTTTCACTGGAGTTCAGAGGCTTCCAGTCGGAAGCATTCCTGCTTCCTGAAGAAAGGGTCCCAGATGGCCACCGGGTATCCTGGAAGAATTGTCCATTTCCACTTGAACTTTATGTCCCTATGGCATGGAAGTCAGGGCCCAACATGCAGTGGCTGCTCTCTCTCTAATGGTTCAGCTCTCTGATTTCTGCAGAGAGCTGTGTCCCCATCCCACTTCTGCCCCTTTCAAGCATCGCGCTGGAGCTTCCGAAATCCCCATAAAGTCTTAGTAAATTACGGACCCCTATAACTGGGCCTGTACATAGTAAGTTCTCTGTGATGCTGTCTCCAATTATTTCTCTATGCCAGGCATACCATGGAGAATTTCCCTTAGAATATCTGGGGAAGCCCTGTAATAACCATGGAAGATAGGTAGTATTATCATCTTCCCCTTTTACAGATGGGGAAATTGAGGCCCAGAGAAGCCAAGACATTTAGCCAAAGTCACACAGTGAGGAGACAGTTTTGGACACAAATGACCTGCTCCAGAGTGTGTTCACCCTGTGACCAAGGTTAAAGGAAAATAAATATATACATAAGCAATTTCTGAGTTTAAGCTGGCCAGTGCTTGAAACACACAGGAAGACAAAGGCCCACTGACGCCACTGGATCCCCCTGGGGCAGGGATGCGAGTTTCCTTCCTGTTTCTGACTTCCTGACTCCCTTGCCCTGGCTTCGGAACACATGACCACAGCTCCGCCACCTCAGGCTCTTCTGCAAGTAGGACTTAGCTTTTTTCCCTTGTCAATTTCCTTGGCCTGCCCCCCATCCCCTTGCCCCCTCCCCGATTTCCCCCTGCCCACCACATCCTGGGCAGGGGAGAGGCAGAGACAGGTCACACTTGCCAATTCTAATCTGGAGAACAGGGGAAGGCTATAGGAGGCTGGGAAGCCCCCTGGCTAGCTGGGGCCCTTCCTCTCTGTCTGAGAGAGGTGTCAGGACCACGGTCACCCAGGCCTGGCTGGTCACAGGTCACAGGGGACTGGATCCCTTCCCTCGCCAGGCCTCATTCTCCTCGTCCATAGAATGAGAGTGAACAGCTCAACCGTGCTAGCTTCACAGAGTTGTTGTGAAACTCAAGTAAGATGGTTCCTTCCCTCAACAAATGCTTACTGAAATACTGTGTGCCAACAACTAGGCAATGCCAACACAGCCATGAACAAGACAGTCACACCTGCTCCAAAGCACCTACAGCCTAGGGTGGATGGGAGGACACAGAAACACAGTAACCAAACAGCAAAACCAGCACAGTGACTGGGATAGGTGAACTGCACGGTGCTATTGGAGCAAGCGTGGCAAACTAGGGAAGGCATCCTTGAAGGACAAGCAGAAGTTAGGTGAAAGAGGAGAAAGAGGGTTCCAGGCAGAGGGAACAGCATGTGCAAAGGCCCAGGGGCTGGTTCAGGGGAAAGCCTCAGAATATTCAGGAAGGGAAGGAAGAGGCTGGAACTCTGACAGAGGCAGAGGTGGGTAGAGCCTTGGGTGCCAGACAGAAAAGAAGAAAGATGCGGTCTAAATCAAAGGAAGCCAGGGCTGTCAGGGAGCCCAGAGCCTCCAGCCTCTCCCATTTTCCAGTGTGAGCAAGGAACCTTGACCAAGGTACTTCCCCCCTCAGAGCTTGGGTTTTCCCTCCCCGTGAGAGAGCGATCACCGTACCTATTTCGCCAAGACTTTTGAAGATGAGAGAAAATCTACAAAAGGGCTTCCTAGGTGGCGCTAGTGGTAAAGAACCTGCCTGCCAATGCAGGAGACATAAGAGACATGGGTTCAATCCCTGGGTCGGGAAGATCCCCTGGAGGTGGGCATGGCAACCCACTCCAGTATTCTTGCCTGGAGAATCCAATGGATAGAGGAGCCTGGAGGGCTACAGTCCATGGGGTGTCAAAGAGTCAGACACAAGTGAAGCAACTTAGCACACACGTACATAAAAGTCCTGTCCCAGTGCAAATGACTTCTCCACAGAGGATGACCACTTTTACTCTCAGTGCAGCTGATGGCATTTCTGGGTTTCCCCCTGTTTCTTGAACATCTGTCATTGTTAACACTAGGTAGCAGACAAGTGGGAATGAACCCCAAATGTTTTAGGGAAATGTTTGCATGTAGAAGAGCCAATCCATGCATTTGTTCTTTTTCCTGTCATTTGAGAAAGGACCCCAGGGTTCCACAGGAACCTAGTTTGAGAACAACAACCCAACAGAATAGCAGAACCATAGAGGAGGATCTAACAAAGCTGACATCTGTGTAATAGGTTTTGATGGCTGTAATAAAAGCCAAAGAGCATAAAATGTATTAGCTTCTAACTGGAAACACCAAAAGGAAATTGGATACCATGGAAGGGAGTATCTGCTGGGAAGGGGGACTAGGGCAGCTTTTAGGGGACCAGGAATGTCTTGACCTGGGTGAGGATTACACACATCTGTTAGTTTCACCAAGAATTTGTCAAGCTGTACCTCTATTTGGACATTTTTCTCTACGTATTTCTCTGTAGGTATGTTGGAGAGGGAAATTATACATGTACAAATATAATGTAAGCACAAAGAAAGTTGTTTAGAGAGGAATTTGGCAATAGCTAACAAAATTGTGTACGCATTTTACCCTTTGACACAGTAATCCTCATTTCTAGGAATCTAAATACACAAACTATGCACAAAGTTATTCATTGCAGCTTCATTTGTATTAACAAAATATTGGAATCAACCCGAATGAATAAACAAGGATACATTTCCTTCTGCATATCAAATGACCCCAATCTGGTGAAACACAACCACTATGGGTTTTATTTTGCTCATGGATTCTGTAGGGCAGGAACTCAGGCAGGGTATTGCAGGAATGACTTGTCTCTGTTCCATGACGGGTGGGTGTCTGCTGCAAGACCCAGATGGATGGAGGTGTCTGGAAGTTAAGCTGGGGCAGGGGGAGGGTTAGGAGAGGTGGGAATGCAATCATCTGGAGGCTTTGTTTCTGTCACCTGGGCTGAGACACCCCAAAGGCTAGGCTTGGGCAGGACTACTGACTGGAGAACCTACACATGCTCTTTCCATACTGCTTGGGGTTCCTCCCAACATGGCAACTGGGTTCTGAAAGGAAGAGTCCTGACAGCAAGCATTCCAAACAGGGCCAACAACATGATTTGCAGCACGCTAAGTCACTTCAGTCGTGTTTGACTCTTTGTGACCCCATGGACTGCAGCCCACCAGGATCCTCTGTCCATGGGATTCTCCAGGCAAGAATACTGGAGTGGATTACCATGCCCCCCTCCAGATGATTTGCAGGGCTCAATGCAAAGTGGAAATGTGGGGTCCCTTGTTCAAAGACTAGAAAAAACATGCCAGTAGGGGTACCAAAATATA